GGGGGGGGGGGACAGCCACTGGGAATGTTATTAAACTAAAAATATGATGAAGCACAGATCAGACACAAAGGGAAACAAATCCATGATTATATAACAGGAGGTGGGGGGGGAATGAAAGGATGGAGACAGAGTGGAGGAGGGGGGGCAGCTCCTGGGCATTTTGGTGAGATCACTTGCTCTAACGCTGGTGCTGAGGTCACTCAACACATTTCTGAGGGCGCAGCACAACACGCAACGCTCCTGCTGACAGCTTTTAACCTTCATTTGTGGCTTGAAGGTTTGCTGATGTGTGCTCTTCATGTGACGCACTGATGCAGTGACACACATTCATATCGGCCCAGAGAAAAACACTCCTATGGCCGACAAGCTACTTAACCAAAATGCGAAAAAGTTTGAGGAACACTGTTACATTTATCCCATTTAGTTCATTTCAATCGAGAAACGTATGGGTCACATTCTTCTCTAATCATCAACCCACCGACACGTCAACGAAAGCTAGAGCAACTGTTTGTCTGATCAGTGAAGTTTCACATTTGAATGATGTTAGCGTCGCTGGTAGATTCGATCCATGTTAACATCGACACTCTCACCCTGGACCCAGTTATGATTTAATTAGACACAAAGCAATCATTTATCAACACAAAAACAGCAGGGGTTCAGACACTTTCCTCATTTATTATACTTAAACAGCAGGCTCACTGAGTGTGTGTGTGTGTGTGTGTGTGTGTGTGTGTGTGTGTGTGTGTGTGTGTGTGTGTGTGTGTGTGTGTGTGTGTGTGTGTGTGTGTGTGTGTGTGTGCGTGCGCGTGTGTGCGCGTGTGTGTGCGTGTGTGTGTTTGTGTGTGTGTGTGCGTGCGCGTGTGTGTGCGTGTGTGTGTGTGTGTTTGTACTGCACTGTAAGGCATTCCTATATAAACTGGCTTCAACCTTGTGTCCGACTGCAGAAGGGCGAGCAGCTGTCCACAAACTGAAACCAACCTGCCGCACATTATTTATCTTCACTTTATTTATAAAAAAGATCGCCTGGTGTTTACGGCTTTGGAATAAATAACACAAATGATATTTCTTTTAACCTCAAAAATGTATTTCTGCCGGATTCATGCTCAGCTAATGATGGAGCTTAAAAATCCAAACAATCTAAGGACAGGTCTGAGTACAAACCATTGATTTTGAAATCGTAAATTCATTCCACTGAACACTTTAGGTACCAATACACGCACACCCATGCGCACACACACATGCGCACACACACATTAGCACAGATAGCTTTTTGGCAAACTTGCTGAGGCGACTTTTTTTCCATCCTCATTCAATCAGAAAGTCCTTCAGCTGTTCACCTTCACTAATGCAGGGCAGTTATCCCATTTAGAGAGCTGTGAGGGGAGGGGAGGGGGGGGCAATACTCTACATTACAGAGCTGAAAGGGGTTTCTCTAAATTTATATACTTATTGAAAACAAGCTACAAAATGTAATACCTTGGAAAATGCCGTTTAATACTTTTTAATAGCCTTCATTTTCGCTAAATTGATTTATCAACTTTTAATACTTTTTAAGACCCCGCGGACACCCTGTGTACATTACAGAGCTGAAAGGGGTTTCTCTAAAATGCCTGTACGTTGTTAAACCCCAACTGACATGTTTTGCATGTGCAAAAGTGCATGCAGGAGAACAGAATGTTTTTTACTGCAGTACAAATGTTGTTTTTGATAGGAACGCCAACAAATATAGATAAAAGCAGATCATTTAGTTGAATAAACAATTTGTGAATGTTGTAAATAATAACATCATTCATTTTGCAATTTCAACACTCTGAAGTTATTGGATATGTTTCGATCACACAACCACTGGAATCTATGTATACAAATAGTCTATTACTGATATGAATAGGTAATAGTGGCCTGTCTTTATCTGCAACTGTGCAGAAGTGCCAGGCTTAAACGAATGAAAAAATGCAAATCCGAAAAAAAACTCTTATAGGTATTTAAAATGTAAAATAAATGTAATGATAGAAATGATTCAGCACAGTGCAGCCCTACCATGGCCCTGCATGATTAAAGACTTAATGGACTCCTCTCCTGTGTGCATTCAGCATGGCAATTATAGCCCATCATGTTCTGTCACCGAACATAATCAAACTCGGTGCTTTCCCACAGCCGACTATCTGAATTCTGAATCACATGTGCATCAGTAACGAGTGCTTCCTGTAGTGCTGGATAATGCACAGTGAGCTGTGTGGATGGTAAAGGGCAGGAGCCGATAACAGAGCTGTTAATGTGGCGCTGCAGAGGCTTGAGAACAGCTGGGACCCCAGATAAAGAGACGGGGGATTCATGTGAGAACTGCTGACTGCGCTGTGGTTGACGATGTGTTGGATGTGAGTGAGGAGAGGTAGAGAAATCAAACACACCACCAACAAACAGAGAGCAATCAGACCAACGCCACGCTGACGAAGTGTGTGTGTTTTGATTGGCTGAGAGGCGCTGGCGTCAGTTGGAGGATCCCCTTACACGGTCCTGTTACACACAGCGCTGACAGCCCAACCTGTTGCCATGGGGACGGCATCCCGATAACCTCGCAGTGGTGTTAAGCTCTGACTGAACCCCCCCCCACCCCGCCAGAGACAGAGCTGCTACCAGAGTGTGTGTGAGATAAATGCTCATGTGGAGTTCAAAAGTAGTGTTCGCCGCCCTCAAGTGGAAATTTAAATCACTAATTGCTGTCCCGCCTCTTTTGTGTGTAAATCATTATTAAGAGAACCTACAAGTGCAAGTCCTTTCCAAAAGCAGCAATCCTTTATAAATGCTGATCTCAGAATGCTCCGTGAAAACCCCCCCGACTGTGGAAGCAGTTGAATTTCAGTGCTGAGTGAATGTGGCGCTACATGTTTTGCAACTTCTCACCATTTTCCCCCGCTGCTGTGCTGAGCGAGTCTCCCGCAGCGTGAAGACGTTTCCGCAGACCGAGATCTCCCTCCAGACGCCGGGTTTAGAGTCCTGGGTGAAGCCGTTTCGGGGGTGCATCACCAGCACGCCGTTTGTCGTGAGGCCGTCCATTTGAGCATCAGGCGTCTTCCATTTAGCGGCCTTCTCCTGAGGGGGGCAAATATATAAGAGGGTTATTATTGAAGGTCCCTAAACTGTTTTTCATCAATATATCACAGGTCTCAGATATATACAGAACCTGTTTCTGATTGGCTGAAACACCAAACAGATGAGGGGATTATGGGTAATGCTGCAATGATCTGTTTGGTGTTTCAGCCAATCAGAAACAGGTTCTGTATATATCTGAGACCTGTGATATATTGATGAAAAACAGTTTAGGGACCTTCAATAATAACCCNTATGAGACAAAAGCAGGAGAGAAAAGTGACGGAGGGAAGAGATGAAAAGGAAAGGTGGATGGCAAGTACGTTTGAGGAGAGGAAGGAAACCTTTTGAGGAAAGGAAGTAGGAAACGCAATGAAAGACAAAGAGTCCCTTACTCACCATCTCTCCTTCCTCCTACCTCTCCTTTCCTTTTGGTCTCCCTTTCCTCATCTCTTTTTAATCATTCCTTTTCTTTATCTTAGTATTTGTCCCAACTGCTCTTTCCCTCCTCTTTTCCTCTCTTCTTCTTTGTCCTTTCTTCCAGTTTCCTCACTTTCTTTTTTCTCCACACTCCTCTTTATTTTTGATTTCTCCTTCCCCTCCCTTCTTTCTCAGTTCGATGTTTCTCCTCCTTCCTCTCATTCCCATCCATCCTTTTGTTTCATTTTCACTTTCTGCCTCTCCCTTTTTCTCCTTGCAGTCTTGTCCTCCTTCCTCTTCCTCCTCTTCCTCCCTGTAATACCCTTCCTCTTTCTCTTCCTTCCTTCCTTCCTCTTTCTCCCTGTAATTCCCTTCCTCTTTCTCTTCCTTCCTTCCTCTTTCTCTTCCTTCCTCCCTCTTTCTCCTCCACTCAAATCATTTCATATCCCTCTCCCTTTCCCCTCCTCTTTCCCCCCTCTTCATCATCCATTACTTCCATGTTACCTTCCACAACTTTTCATTTCCTTGTCCACTTCCTTTCTCTTTTTCTTCATCTTCCTTCTCTCCCCTTCTCCCTCTTCCATTATCTCCCCCTCTTATCCTCCTCTCCTCTCCTCTCGGGCAGCCTGTTGAAAGAATGAATGAATAAAAATGAGACGGACGATCTGCGCCCTGCGAAACACAAAATCCTCCTTTTTCTTTCTCTCTTTATTTCTTTAGTGTTTTTTTTCTTTCTTTACTTTAATTTATCTCTGAATCATTTTTTCTTTCTCTTTCAATTTGTATTTATTTGTTCTTTCTTTCTGCACGTCTGGAATGAGGACAATCTGAACCAGCAATTTGAGCATGTCATTAAAGCATATGAATAGTTATTTACATTTCAATATGAATTATTATATATACAATATCACCCAGAACACATCATCAAACCGTTCTTGTTGGTATACTTAAGAGCATATACATATATTTGATTATATACAATATCCCCTCTCGCTGTATTCCTCATTACAAAATGAAAACATTTAAAATCGAAAAATAAATAAAAATAGAAAAAGCATAAGAAATTATTTTCCAAATCTTTTTGAATTATGTGTGACCCTGAACATAAATATATATATATATATATATATATATATATATATATATGAGAAACATATAATGAGAAACATGATCTGAAATGTGATTGTTGGACGTTCAGTTTGGCAGAAAACGCTGTCAGTAATTACATATCTCTAATCACCAGTGTGGATTGGACATATGTGTAAATCAATATGTAATAATCATCAGAGTCTAAACCCACGCAGAACTGTGTCTGCCTCACCAAGACAAAGACGCAGACAGACAGACATTGGTACGGCTTTTTGGTAGCCACTCCAGTCATTTTCTGAAAAATAGAATTAGAAAGACACACACACACACACACACACACACACACACACACACACACACACACNCAGAGCCTGTCTCTGATTGGCTGAAACACCAAACAGATCATTGCAGCATTACCCATAATCCCCTCTGTTTCAGCCCTGTTTCCAAAGTGCTGATTCTCTGTCTGTTACTTTAGATGAAAATAAGGAGCCCCTCCCCACGCCCCTCTGAGAGAGATTTGGTTACAGGGGGGGGGGGGGGGGGTTACCTTGGTTGCTGATTGGCTAATGGTTACACAAGACAAAACATCGTTATGACATCATAAAGTGGCCAAAATCTGATCAGCTCATTTTCAGACAGGTTTTTATAGAAATGGATCAGGACAAAAAGAGAGAGAATCTTTGTTCCTGTAACTTTCAGAGTCTCTTTACAGAAGAGGGGACACATGTTGATGTAGAAGAGACATGAAGAAGAGGGGACACATGTTGATGTAGAAGAGACATGAAGAAGAGGGGACACATGTTGATGTAGAAGAGACATGAAGAAGAGGGGACACATGTTGATGTAGAAGAGACATGAAGAAGAGGGGACACATGTTGATGTAGAAGAGACATGGAGAAGAGGGGACACATGTTGATGTAGAAGAGACATGAAGAAGAGGGGACACATGTTGATGTAGAAGAGACATGAAGAAGAGGGGACACATGTTGATGTTTATGTCATTCATATTTCCTCATTTATTTTTGAGCCAACTGTCCCAGCACTTGCAATCAAACACCTCAACAGGAGCAGTTCCGTAAAAGTGTCTGAAACAGTAGAAGAAAACGCAGCTCACCCCGAGGAAAATGTTCTTGGAGGAGTCGAAGCCGGCGGCGTAGATGCGTGCGGTGTAAGGCGGCGTGCGCTGGCACATGATGCGGCAGGCGAAGCGGGAGATGGTGCTCTGGACCGACTGCGTGTCTGCGTTACTCTGACTGCCCGCCACCGTGTCCGTCACTACGAAGTCTATCGGACTCTCTGTGGATCGACCAATCTGCAGAGGGGAGGTTGAGATGGTGTGAATACGTTTCAAAATGTTGAGGTTATTATCTACAACTGCCTGACACACTCTGTCTATTCTACCCCACAAGCCCTGCTAAGGTTTTAAACCACAGTTCCCACAATTCAGGAATGTTGGGGAAAGTGTTCAGGAAGTATAGTGGAGGGGTTGGGTTAGGGGTTAACCCTAACCCTAACCCTCACTCAGTTAGATTTGGTTACATTGGCCGTTAAAAGTATGCAGTAAGTTATAAGTATTAGCTATTAGAAGTTTGCGATGTACCCATGAATATGACAATTACTACTACAAAAAACTACTTGAGACTTATGCACATACATTTGTAACGGTACAAGAAAACTCAGATTCTGTAAATAAACATATATCTCCATTAAAGACATTTCTCAGGCTGGATAGAAGGGAGTCACACTGGATCTAAAATATATAAATGCGTCATATCTGTGTCAATTGTTGATGCAAATCCGTCCTTTACTTATGGACTGTAACTGGTTGTAGGAGCTGAGGCTTGTTACCTGGTACATGTCTGTATTGCTGTCGTGCGTGTACTCCACCACCACCGTCTGGACTCGAGAGAGAGTGTAAGAGATGCTGTGCTGGTCTTTGTTGCTTATGGCCTGATGGGACAAAATGAAGGAATACAGAGAAGATTAAGAGACACATGTTAAGACCTTTTAAATGCTCTCAAAGCAAACCCTTAATGTAGACAAGGATTAAACTTGATTATGCTTTATGACGAAACGTCTGGTCCCTGATCCCAGCAGAGAACAATTGATAGGAAGGGTGGGGTGGGGGAAAAGTTTAGTTACACAGTCACTAACATAGCCTCAACATCTTTCAAAGTAGTAAGGACCACCCAAAGGATAAATGATGACTATCACTTCTCAAGACTCATCTAAAAGGCTCGACTGTGTGTGTGAGAAATGGTAAGTGTGTGTCCGACGCCCGGACTATTTACCAGATTTCTGGGCGGCCTTATAAGCCTTATAACTGACGATGGAAATACGGACATGTGCTTTCCAGGCTTTTACTAAATAAACGCCCAGTTGCCTTCCACTGGACCGTTCACTTTGGTTTCCCTTGTAAACCCTCAGCGTGCGATCGTTAAACGCCGTGTAAAAACCATTGTTCGAATACCTTTTCAACTTTCAGATACTTGTACCTGCTCTTTCTCCCTTTTCTGCCAACTCAGTGAAGTTTTTTCAAACCCCTTTCCTTTTCATTGATGGTGTGTGTGTGTGTGTGTGTGTGTGTGTGTGTGTGTGTGTGTGTGTGTGTGTGTGTGTGTGTGTGTGTGTGTGTGTGTGTGTGGTGCTTTAATATCACAGACAATAAACAAACAGAATTTCAATAAAGCCTTTGGTCCGGCAGCCCAGGCCAAACTCACTGAACTGGGTGTGTTTTATTTGATGTTGTCACACAAATGAAATCTTACGCCTGCACAGACGATGTTTTGTTTTTTTTACAGGAGAAAGGAATGCTGTTTTCTAACTAATGCATGCATTTTCTTTATCACTCTATATGTTTTTTACATGTTTTATGAACACAAAAGCGTGTGTGTGTGTGTGTGTGGTGGTTGTGTGTGATCACCTTGGCTGCCTGTGGAGAGCAGGCGATGTGAATTGTGCTGGGTTTCACCCCGTTTGCCTTCGGTCTCTTACCAAGTGCAAAGCGGCTCTTACGTCGGCCTCGGTCCCCGTTAGGCAGAGAGCCATTGTACCTGCGCGCACACACACACAGACATGGAGAAGAG